ACACACACACACACGCACACACTCACACAACATACACACACACACACAATAAATGAATAACTATATAGATTTTAAAATAATAAAGGCCCCCTCCTCTCCTCCCGGTTCACCTTTTACAACCACAACCCCCCTCAGAAAAAAACCCTACCCCCTCTTCTAAAAAAAAAAAGAAAAGAAAAATAAGAAACCGCCTTATACAGGACTGGACCTACGATATATAGAGCTATAGAATTACGTCATTAGACCTAGATCTAGTTTTATTATTCTTTAAAAAAAAAGTGTACTTAAAAAATGAAAAGAAAACTTTCGATTCACTTTTAAAAAATTGTCGATATGTTTTAACAGCCGAATTGATACAATTTAGATCATTTAGAAAGTGAAGAGGAAACAAATCATGACGCTGTCAGAGACGTCTGTCTAAAATAGCAACCTTTCTCTCCTCAACAATGAGTGAACAATTTTGAATGTACGTCCAGAAAACTGTTGCTTGTGATGTGTAAATGTGTATTCATTATTATATTAATAGAGTTACCGTTGACACCTTCTATTGTAAGAACTTTTTATGCTCATTACGGACAAAAATCTGATCCTTTAAAGCCGCTCAGTTTTGGGAAAATTTAAGAAAGAAATAGAACGGAGTTATTCACACAGCTTGCCCAATTCTGTTTTCTTTATCCGAATTTTTTAAATTTAAGAAAGCAAAAATATTTTCACTATAAACTATGCAAATTCGTGTTTCTGATTTATGTACAATTGTACAATGGTTCGAAACGTGCTGCAGCACTCCATTTAGTCGTCTGCTGTTGATCGGACTTTATTATCGTCACGATCATAAAATAAATGTCTAAGTCATTTTTAACTATTTTGAGAAAATGAGTAAAAAACCAACAACAAACAAACAACTGTTTCTTTCGGTCAATTGACCTTGTGAAAAGTTTGAATTTTGGTACGCTTAACTGATTTTATATTTGGATTATTCTTTTGTCTAAATGAACTATATTACCAAGCTGGCTGTGTTCTTCATTTCAGAACCAAGTACTTCAATCCGGCCAAAACGACTTAGACAATTATCATTCTTATGAGCGTGACGATAAGTGTTCACTACTCCCTTAAAGAGCTAAAAAGTATTATTCTAACACAGGATAGAACCATCTGACACTGTGTAATCTCTGATTTTCCTTATAGATTTGAACGTGACAAGTGGAATCATCGACGTCTCTTGCTTTGAAGTTTAAATTACACCCCATTTGTATCAAATATTTAAGTTACTTCAAACTACAAATTCCGCGTTTGATGAATAGTAAACAGGATGACAGCCGTTTTAAGGGCACAGTAAAAGCCAAATCCATCACAATAAAAGAGGCATACTACTTATCAACTTAATGAACGTACTGTCAGGTACGTAGACAGTTATATTAAAAAGGGATAACGACTCCCTCTTCATCAATACAACAGTAGATTACTTCCTACCACTTCAAGAGCTTTAATATTGTCCTCGGTGCTTAAACTGTCATTATTCGAAACTCTTCACGAATTCGAATATTATTATCACGACGAAATGATGGATGTGGAAGAGGGAAGTGGCCGGGGGGAGGGGGGGGGCTGTTGGTGTGTGTGAGGGTGTGTGTGT